GCGTTGCGTGTGTACGTATTGGCTGTATAGAACAAATAGACCGTTGTAAAACCTCAGTTATCAATATGAACTGTCTCGTCTCCCGAACGAAGCCGTGTGGTAAAGAAAGCCTTAAATTAAAAAGTTCAGAAAGTGGAGCGGCTATTAGGCTTAGTTGTCCTGTTAAACCCTTGCAAGAAAGACTCTACGGTCATCTGTATTTATATTCTCGATATATTTCAGTCACGCGCCAACAAGAACAAATATGTAAAAATCAAGTGAAGCTTTTCCCATAATATGATCTGTAGGTAGAACGGTCAAAAAATTATTACCAAGGAGTAATTCTTTAACTGCTATCTCTTGCTCGAGAAGCGTTCAATTTTACAACAGCTAAGCGAACGCATTCATTTCATGTTAGATATGAAAGCATATTCACTTTTGAGTGACAGCGGCTCAGACTTGCAGCCATTCATTCGATTATATGCCAAACCCAGCATACGGTCTTTCCCAGGCTTGCCCGATTTTAGGGACCGCCGGCCATGCAGGCTAGTTTGACGCTTGATCCAGCTAGTTCTTAGGCTCGGTTCCAGTCGTTCCCTCTTGGGGGGCTCTCTTGGAGGGAACGGCTGGGCGCATGCAGTGCGTATTGTTCCGTGTAGCAATTTTACATTGGACTTCTCGATGCAGAGTTTGCTCATTTGGAAGTTCGTTCCTTTTCTGAAAATAAGTTTTGGGGTTTAACGTTGCTGATAGTTGAAGGCCTAGCCGATTTCTTTGAGGGCGCTGTATGTGGAGGTTTCTACGTCGGTGGGTAAACACCGTTTAAATCTCCCTTAAGTAAACTTTCTTGAGATGAACTTTACAATCCTCAATTTCTTGTTGTAGTTTGTGCACTTGTTAACTTGTCTCAGGCATGAACGGCACAAATGTTTATCGCATGGCACTTCTTCTTTAGCAATACACGAAATATCACAAACATTTTCCAGCAATTCCCGCGTTCTCCGTACGATTTTCGTGCGATATTTTACATTTTCAACTTCAGTAGAACAAACAAAACACCCACGAACAGATGCTAATTTATATGTTGTAGTTTTTAAGTTCTCAGATGTCATTTAATCAATTCATCGCGTTCTTTTTCCGACCTGGCAAGCATTTCTGGCTATTTTAATAATGACTTGTATTATTACACTCACCATAAATATTCCATAATTTAGGTGGAAATATCGCATTTGGAATTAGTAAAAACACGCGATCAGACACGGAATGCACTGCATGCGCCCAGCCGTTCCCTCCAAGAGAGCCCTAGACTTGCTCCAAGTCTCTCTTTCATTGTCATATAGTATCAATCAACTATAGTGTACATTACATGACGTAGTACGGGGGGGGGGGGCGGAGCGAGAAAGAGAGACTTGTCAACTTCAGAAAATCTCGGTTCAAAACTGAACCGAAAATGCAAGACCGCTCCTTTAATTGTTTTCTGTCAGTGTTTATATGTATTGATCTAGCACAATGTAAATAACATGAGTTCCATTATAGTAAATGATAAAGAAAGAAATTGAAGGAAAAGAATTAAATCAAGTCTTGCATTTTCGGTTCAGTTTTGAACCGAGATTTTCCGAAGTTGACAAGTCTCTCTTTCTCGCTACTCCTCTCCGTGCTACGTCATGTAATGTACACTATAGTGGATCGATATGACAATGAAAGAGAAACTTGGAGCAAGTCTAAGAGAGCCCCAAAGAGGGAACGACTGGGACCGAGCCTAGCTAGTTCTATGTTAGAGTTTAACGGGCTCTGAGTCATTCTTGCACCCAGAGCCCTTCTTACGCGCGGTCAGCAACGAGGAGCTCTGGCAAAATCCAAACCGGATACCATAAAAACATGGTATCCGGTTAAACACTGCGCATGCTCAACTCTAATTGAGCATGCGCAATGTTTAACCGGTTACCATCTTTTTGCGGTATCCGGTTTGCATTTTGTCTGAGCCCCTCGTCGCTGACCGCGCGTAATTGGCAAATCTAAAGTGTATTTCCTGTCAAAAATATCCGCTGACTTCACTAGTATCACAACAGATTCAAATACCGAAATAAAAGACGAACAACTACGGCTACAAGCTTGAAAATAACACCTTAAATTGTGTATTGGATTCTGGTTCGAATAAGACTATAGCGAAAACGATATCTCCCAAGGGGCCGAAGTTATGTTCGGCGAAAGGTATAGATAGTTTACATTGTTCGAGACAATTGATTAATGTGATGAAATATGACACCGCTTCACCTCTCAAAAGGTCATAAATAGTTATATAATTTCACTAAAACTATATTGGACTAAAACTATCCATAGGAATTATAGGAGATATTGTTTCACTGAATCGAATGGTGGTATTTTCATCTACATATAGCATGCATCAAACCGAAGATATGAATCGGCGAAGTGTCATAGACCGTGCACGTTCTACGTTTATATAGGGGCCTGCTGAGAAAGAGTCAGGAATTTGGTGCTTCATTAGCGGTGTGATTGGAGTTTGACACCGCATAAAAGTATCATTATACGTCCCGCTTTGCGTGAAACCAATGCCTGCTAAAAGATTTGAAGTAAGTAGTGTATAAATACACTATTAAAAAATGTAATAGTTACACCATGAAAAACCCCTGGGAGTGTACCAATGCAAACTTCACTGGCATTCCATACAAAAATGTGCAAATAAATTGAATGACTGTGCGGTTACAAAATTACTTCTATAAGACAAATAAATTGCATTACAGTTCCCTTAATGACAGTAACTGTTTCCGTTATCAAATATGGTGTCTTATTTCAACACTACAAAATAATTATACCCAATTTCTACCGTCTGGACAGACGGAGTACATACAAACTTCCTAACTTATGACATATGCGTTGTTAACATGAATAGAGGAATGAGGTTTTCCAGCAGCTTCAGATTTCTTTTTCTTGCCGAAGACGCAACAACACAAAGAAATAGCCGCAATAATCAGCAGTAAGACAAGAACAGGGACTCCAGCAACAAGAAGATAAAACTCCACAGTTTTGCTGTCATCTATCGAAAGAAAAAAAAAAACACCAAAAAACATGAAGTCAGTTATTTTATGTTTGTCAGTCGTGTTTTGCTCGCTATACTGGTTGCTATAAATTAATACAAAGCTTAGTCCTCTGGGGTTATCTGACATTAACCTGGAGTGACGAAACGTTGGGTCGTGAATGCAATTCCGGCGACTAGGCACTTAGTTATAACTAGGGATCCAAGGATAGTGTGAAGTTTCGAATTGAAAAAGACACTGCAAGAACTATATATGGTCGCCGAGAACCTAGAAAAGCTGATGGCTTACACTACGAAATAAACAGTTACCAAAGGCATTCCGTCTCATTATTTATTGCTTTTAATACGCTCGGCACACGAGTAGCGTGACGTTTGAAACAACTAAAGCCTAACACACCAGAAACGTGACTTGTGAAACTGATGCAATTCATCTATTTATTGTGATGCTACACGATGCTACACGAGACAATTCAAAATTTAAATGGTTTCACCAACAACCAAATTTTGCATATTCTAAATTTTCATTTGCATTTGCAGCTGTCGCTAAAAGCTACCCACGAGGCTACTGCTATGCTAAATTTATCTAAAACTATAATTGAAATAGCTGTGTAAGATATGTTATGAATAATAAGCACTACGTCGTTACATCATTAAAAGGACGCATTTTATCCTCATCCGTTCCGTATTCTATCCGCATATCCGTTCCGTGGATCCGCTCCATCCGCTTCCGCATTTTAACCTAATTGTGACATGCTTCACAATAACAAGTTTCATTGACCTTTGACTTTTCCCAGTGTCACGTCTATTTTCAGCTTTTCGCATGTGTTGAATACATTAATGTCACTTTAGATTTCAATAGTTTCACAGTTAAGCAGTGTTTAAATTAAAGCAGGTTTGACAAGCTTTGATACAGTTCTGTTTACAGAATACTACAGATTGATTCTCGTAAGATCTGGTAGAGTTATCGTTGCACTGAACACGAGTTTGCACCGTTGACAACGACGGCGTTGTGCTAGACAGTAAACAAAGAGAAGGTCCGTGACAGTACACGTTGGCTACATGGGGTTAGGTTAAAACGCGGAAGCGGATGCGGAACGGAACGGATGCGGAACGGAACGGATATGCGGAACGGAACGGATATGGGTTAAAATGCGGAACGGAACGGAAATGCGGAACGGAACGGAACGGAACGGAACGGATATGGGGTTAAAATGCGGAACGGAACGGATTTGGGGTTAAAATGCGGAACGGAACGGATAT